GCATGTAATTGCTTGTGGAGTTACGTGGAAGCAAGGCATTCAAACCACATGTGACTTGTTAATTTTGAAACCCTGCTGTGTTCACATGTTCACCAAAAAGGGTTGAAAAACCCTGTCTGTCATGTCATCAAAACTAAAATAATGTAGACCAACCAAACTTGTTTAACAAACATATGACTGCATACCAATGCAACTTGGGTGGTGGTTTTTTGAGTTTCTGCTTGTGGCTGTTGATTGTTCAGTTCTCGCTCCCTCTGTCGTGCAAGTCTGCCTTTGTCTTCACCCTTGAAACCACCTGTAAATTAGAAATGATTTACAAAATGACATATGACTTCTGCTGAAATACAAAAGCAAAAGTCAGTGTTCTCCACGGCCGAAAATTTTGGCAGGGCGGTAGACAAAATTGCAGGCGCGAAGCCCTTACGGCATGGGGTCCGGGCCCGCTGAAGGGCCTCAGAAAATGTTGGATTCGAGATGCTCTGTGGTGCATTCTGGGGCAATTTCCAGTCCGCTTTCGTCTGTAATTTGGCCTAAAATCTGACAGCATTTACAACGTGAAATATTGGCTAGGATATTCTTCAGGAGGAAAATAGCAGGGCGGCACAAATTTTAGCAGGGCGGCAAAATTTTAGCGGGGCAGGCCCAAAAGTTTGGCAGGGCCGTCCGCCCTGCTAAAACAGCCCGTGGAGACCGCTGAAAAGTACATTACTATATGCAAAAAGGGGCTCTGAACAAACCTGTTGCTGTGTTTTGTAAATAGTGTGCCTATAACCATGATAACATGTGCACAAAGTGGCCTGACTAGCTTCAAAATCTGTAGACAATTCAGGTCAGGAGCCAACATCACAACTATGCTCCCACTTTAAGCAAAGAATCTCTGCAAAGTATGGCAAAGAAATTACAGTGCAGTTCATGAAAGGGCCAGGAATCCAACCTGCGCATGTATCCTGGAAGTGTGGACTGTTTTTAAAGTGATTTTAAAGTGCAGAACGTTTGTGCTAGAATAGTGGGCACAGTACATGTATGTAGACAGGTGAGCCTGTGATTAGCAAAAACAGGAATCCTCCCTGTTCATATCGAGCAGGAAGATTCTGTGGACTACCTCACCAACAAGAATCCCCTTCATTCTGTCACATTTACACCTGGACTATAAAAACTTTGGGGAAAAAAGCACACTGGAATTCAAACGGGGCAGGAATGGACGACCTGACATGGTACCGCTCTGTATCAATGTTCAACACCACCAAACGTCCAAATCTTGCCAGTGGCTTACCTTTTCTCTCCATGAAGAGCTTTCCAACAGGTTGGCTGGGCAAGACTGCTGTGTGCGACGGCTGCTGTTGCTGCTGCTCGTCTCTTGTCTGCTTCTCAGGGCTGATGATGTCCTCTGCGGCCACCATGATGTCCAGTGACATACCTGAGTGGCAAACACAAAACACTGGTTACGAACACATCAATACCCTGAACTATTAGTTATTTCAGATGCGTGTTAGGAATCCGGAACCGGAGCAAACGTAAAATCTGGGAGTCAGATTGGCGTAGTGGGTCCCTCCTCACCTCTAACCTCTGCAGACCAGGTTTAACTCCCAGCCCGATTCCACCTGTGGATTGGGTTTTCAGAAAATTCTTCTGAGGTTTTCCTCCCACCTCTAAAACTGTAACTTCTTCTCACTGTCTTTTTCCGCAGGTTTGTCATCTACTGTGACTGGGGGGCTTTTGAGGAATCCTTAGTTTCATAAACAGAAATGTGCAATAACAAAGATATTGACAGTGTACAAAAACATGTATACATGTACACCGCAGTGGACTTAAATACAACCATCAAAAACTCACAGCCAAAATGTGGCGACACTTGCAACTGGCAAATAGGTTGGCTCAAGATATTGATGCCATTTTGAATTTGGATCATCATTAGCTTGGCCTGTTTTCCACCGAGTTAATGTCTGGTTCCTTGTTTGCCTTGAAAAATACCTTAATTAAGCAGTGTTATTACCACAAGTACTTTCATCATGTAACATCACTAACCTTCACCATCTGCATGGTAATTTTCATCCACTGACGTAGGGGGCCTACAGAAAAAACAAACCCAGATAAATCTAGAGGGCCGACAGTAGGGTAACCATGATGCCAAAATTATTATCTGTACTAAGAATGTTACCAATAGATTTTCGAGTGTCTTATTTGATGAATATGCTTCCAAAAGTGATGACAAATTCTAAACTATAAGCAAGCTTAACTTGTTTCAATGTAATGGAAAATGTTAGACTAGACAAAAACCACTAGCCAATAAGGATGCTTTTTCTCATCCAAAATAGCCCATGCAAGACTTGGGGGTCATTTTACTTTGACTTTCTCTTCTTTTTGACTTTGCCCGGCGGCGGGGGTCTCCCGTGGCCTTTGGACGTTCCCGCATCATCTTCATCATCTGCACTATCATCTGTGGGACAAAGATAAACGACCAATTTCTGAAAATGAGTGAGATTCAGGGGCAATTCCAGGGAGATGTTCAACAAAACCTTGTACAGGAAAAAAACAGTTAACCAAAGAGTAATGGAATGTGTATTTCCCATGACTGACACTCGACTAATATTTCTTGGGCAAGCAAGCTTGATAGGTAATGCGCGACCAAACCTGGCATCACTGGCGTCTCTTCTTTACAAGTCACAATGTAGCATTTGTAGTCAATACCTGCAAAGTGTTTGGACTGAGGCCTGCGAGGCTTCTTCTTAGCTGTAGATCCAGCCGCCTCATTGTCGCGTAGGACTTCGTCGCTGACTGACCGTGGGAGTCGCGACTGTCGGTGCTCCGCTGTCAACAACCAAATTCAAAACACATGATTCCCGTCCAAGATGGCAAGAAAATTATTAAGAAATTAATTGCAGACTTTGTAAGAGCAATAAAAGTTGGATATTTTAATCGACTTTATCTTCAACTGTTTCTTGCATATTCTTTCTATTGGTGTTAAACAGACTTTATAAGCTTGTGAAAATCTAGACAACTATGACATCCTCCCCCCAGGATTATGGGTTTGGGTTGGAGTACAACAACGGAGGCAGGGGTGAGGGGTGTTGGGGACTGGCCTGGAGGTGGGAGTGTTATGGTTGCAGGGTTACCTTTCTTCCTCCTTGATGAACCTGGAGAAGACTTCAAGTTGTTGATGGCTGGGGTACTGACTGAGATTTCTCCATTTACTGTATCTGGGGTTGGGTGCAGAAGGAATTCAAGTCCGAGTTAATACCTCTGCCTTTCATGCACTTGTTTTCTTGTTACTGTTGGATTGGGAAACTTACAGGTGGGGAGTTAGACTCAAAATATCCAAGATGAAGAAATGAGAGCATCTACTGAGAGCAACCACAGCGTAGGGAAAACAGAAAGTATATGCTTCATTAAGCCGCTTTAAAACAATGGCATCACTACAACCTAATGGGCAACTTTCAAGGACCTAGAATATTATGTTAATTCCATCCTAGCCTGTGCTATGGTTCAGTTTGGCCACAAGTCCTTCCATTAATCTGGTCACAAACCCACTTGTGGAAGGATAAACGGCAAAGGAATGGTTTTGTCACAGGTCATTTCTAACAGCTTTAGTAACTTGAGTTAAGCCTGGATGACTCGTAGGAAGTTTGATGGACCTGATTACAGCCCCTAATTCTCACCATCAGCCCCACTCTCAAAGTCATATCCATGTGTCATTTTTTTTTTCCGTCGCGGCTTCTTGGCTTGGGAGTCTGCCCCGTTCTGGCCGTTCTGCACGAGATTCTCGCGGCTACCCATGACTGGGGAGTCCACTTTAAACTCCGAGGGCAGAGTACGCTGTTTGCTGACAGACGACTGCTGCGAATCGCTGACATCAGCCGCACCTGTGACAAACACGATACTTGATTTAAAGAGGGGAAAATGTGGAACTTTGTCAAGGAGAGTGTACCCTGTCTTTGCGTAACTGTACACTAGTAGTAAGATGTTACAGAACTGAAAGACAGCTACCCATAAACACATATGTAAATGGGTAACATCCTTTACAAAATCTTCTCTCTCCTTGTAAATGGCTTTCTAGTGTTGTCTTTCAGGCCACTGCATGGCAAAGTTGCAAGGATATAACAAAATGAATAAAGGTACAGAATTCTGGAAGCCACTTTGACTAGAAGCATCCTTCCGCTAGTATGTGGACACAAGGTGCACACTGGAAGACATTGGAGACTGTAGAATTGAACAGCATTTAGTCTTGCATGCTTAGAACGTCCTTCCCAAAACACCCAAGGATCTGTGCCCATTCACTGTGTTTTCTCATGATGAGGACACCATTCTTGTAAGAAGAAAAACTTGTAATCTCCATCTCTTGTTTTAGGATGGAGCAGACAGCTGCCCACTCAAGGACACAGCTTGAGGAAATGTGGACAAGAACTGGTTCTGGCATGTTACCTTCTGCCGTTTTCTTCTTTTTCTTCTTTGGTCGCTGTGCTTGGCCAGATGATGAACCTGTTGTGTGGACATTTAGGCAATCAAGCAGATTCATTTCAAGATACATGTATGAAGGGTTTAGCATAATGGACTTCTAGCCTACATTGTTATGAACTTTCTAGAGAGTGTCTTTTTCAGGAAACATAATAAAAGACTAATCTTGCAGTACATGCAAATCAGAATGTAAACGCATAAAGCTTGGTAATAACTCTGCTGAAAAGAAGCACAAAAGCAATCATTGAGCAAAGAATAGCCGGATGGTGAGGCGTTAGGTAGGCGTATCATGTGGTCCGGCATCTGGGCACAATTTGTGGGGCTTGTCAGTCCTGAGTTTGTACATACCAGGTTCACTGGTTAGGAGTGGAGGTAGGCTTCGTCTCTTCACCGAGGCATCCTAGAGAACAGAGCATGCCAAAAATGTGAGGTTGGTGAATTCAAGCGCTGATTTTTTTCTGAAAATTGTCGGCCTGATGGTTTAAATAGGGAAGGCCCTATTCACGATGTCTGAAGAGACACGGATCAGGCATTGTTTGGTCACGACTGCTTTTTTGGCAAATATTTGTTGAAAAAGTGGAATTCTAGATTTCTGTGTAAGTGATTCATCAAACAAAGCAAGATTCAAAATCCTAAGCCACTTCAATGGTATTTTGATATTTGGAGATATAACCATGAATGTTTGGTCTCTAGACTAAAGGCCCCCTAATTATTTTTCCAACCCAAAGTTTCCAACAATTTTTCTATTGTCAATTTCAAATGAATCCTTACTACGATGTGAGTTTTCATTCTTGTAACCTAAATTACAATAACAAAAGTTACAATGCTGCTAAACCAACTTCTAACAAATTCAAAACGTCAAAAGACCAGGACCCTCAACCCTATGCCACCAGTCTCAGAGAGCCCAGCATGAGACACAAATTACACATGGTTCCACTCCCACTTAGTAAATGCATAAACATGGAAAATGTGCTGCATGTAAGTGCTATTGCTAGTACTGCACACCAGACTACACATGTATCTGGTAATGGACTATTACACTACTCAAGAAAGTTAAGGACCACTTTTTCTTAACTTGTAATTTTTTTCAAGCAATGAGTGGTGTCTCGTTCTTTCATTTTTTGTTTGTCTAGATTGTGTTCACATTGGAATAAAAACTTCAAAAAATGTTTCAAAACATCAAATGCACATTTTCAGCAGTAAAATATCTTACATAAAAAAGTACAAATAATAAGACGATGTCCGTACAATTTGTTTGGCCGGTAATTTGCATTAATTCATCACTCTTGGAAATTAGAAAATGTGTTCTGGACTTACAAAATCATACGTCAGATGTGACAGTGACACGAAAAAAATAGAGCCCTAATTTCTGGAATTACCCATAATTGAAATACTTGTATCCCACTATTTCGGATATTTAAATTAGGACTTTAGTTTGTGTGTTTACACGTGATGCAGATTTACACATGCATGACATGCAGGAGGTACGCGCACAGTTGACTTTACATTTATGTACATTCATTGTGAATAACCAGTCAGTGTCTCTTTCATATTCCACATGACCAGGGACTAGTGAAGGAACATGCACACAGCCCGTGGAGTCGAGGTTGAAACAATTCAATTCATATCCAGCACCAGACTATTCATCTGGTTGATGCCATGCAAGAAAGGTGCCACATGAAGTGACTACTGTTTTCTTGGAAATTTTTTGAAAGTGTTATTGCTAGTATTTTGCAACTTTAATTTTTACTTTTATTAATGTACAGGGATCCCAAGACTCTGCTCAGGATAATTTTGAAAACCCATGGGACTTTTTTTCATTATTCATTATGCTTCGTTGGTGTACATACCGCATATCGATAGCAAGTACGTGTCCATGCAAAGGGAATCAACCTTGAAAGTAGACTAGCTCTCAGTCCGTCTTGCATCATGCCATTTGTTCGCGGACGCCCTACAAGCTGATTTAAATGTACTTTGCATCCATTTTTTAACCATTCCCGACAGGGAAAACAATGATTTTTATCAAATACGCCTGATAACTTTTTGGAAAATTATGAAATTTTTTGGCGGCTGTTTCAGCAGTATGCGGGAGGCGGATAGAAATCTGGGATGTTCATTCTCATAATCTAACGTTAGGAACATGGCATGAAATAAATTAGCACTCGCAGTCTTGGCCTTACTACTACTAGTAGTAGCCCTAACATGCCTAGGCACTAAACCTGACAAAAAGTTATCATATGGTAGACAAAGCAAGGTAGGTTAAGTGCGGGAATTTTCAACCCGGAGGCAAATTTGACCAACTGCATTCAAAACTAAACTGCCAGTCGAATTTCTTGCTTTTCTTATCATGCTTATACATGTTATAGGGTCGAATACCTCCACTTTTACCCTAACTTTAATTCCTTCAAATTTAACACAGCCTATGTTAGAGTGTCAGATTGATTGTCATTAACAGACATGAGAAGAGTTGGTACCCAGACAAAGGAGATATACATGTATATGCAACCATACGTATGAAGCCAAACCACAGTGGTTGTGTTTGTATTGCGCATGCCCAATGTGTATTAGACTTGGGTTGCAGCTAGCCGTTCATCGTTATATCAACAGTAAAAACACCATCAATTTGTGTGAATTGCGGTAGTCAAGCGGTTACGGCATAATGATTTGTAATGCAAGGGGTGTGGGTTCGAATCACGGGTCAGAATTATGGGCAGGGAGGTTTTTTTTTTTAAGGAAAATTAAGCCCAAATGCTATTGGAGCCTAATTTCACACGTGAAGTTTTTATGGTTGGTTGAGCATCTAGATGTCATGCATTGTGCATGGTTGTGAACCGTGGTTTGGCTTCATATGTGTGATTGCATATATAGCTCAGACAAAGTTAGTTAGGGCCTACCAACCATGCCAACCAACCTGACCAACGCCTTACCAAAAATTAAAATAATGTAAAAAAAAGTGAATTTTACGAAACAAGAAATACAGTGACGTCTGGAGTTTCAATACTTCACTCTTGGACGTGAAATGTCTAGAGTTCCACAGAATGAGATGGTAAAAACCTCAAAATCTCAACGTTATAGTTCTTACCACGGAAGTCGCCATTTTGAATTCCACAGACCTTTGCTTTAGAGCAGCGCCCTCTTGTGACAGGAGATTTTTCATATTCAAATCTTCGGCATATTATTTTTGTTACTACATTACGCAATATTCTGTTTGACACGATCACGGGCCGTTTGACTTCTGTAAAGAATTGTGTCTATTATTTCAATTGCATATACATATTTTCTTGGAATGAATAAATATTATGTCTTTCGATTTCTTCTCTGTATATCTAATTTGATGAAAATGGCCTATTTATGGCCAGTGCATGAATTTCGAAACTGTTGATGAAATAAATTACTATTTTTCGTTCATGAATGTAGCTGACCGTAATGTTCTGGGCCCAGGACGTGTGTAAATTTGCTAATAATTCCAATCTGAATATGACTTACTTTTCAATTTGTCTCATTATGTTCCCGATAGATGGCGAGCTCTATAACCAAACTGTTTGCTTTTAAACTACCCTTAAGTCGCGTTACAACGATTGACTTTGAAACTCGTTCGGATGAAAATTTTTTTTTAATTAAACTGAACAAGAATTTTATGCCACTCTTTAGATAAACGAACTGTAACATCATCTTAACTTTTAAGTTAGTCAAGGCTGCTCATGCATCATGTGATCTGCTTGAGTGTTCTGTTGAATGGATTATTATATTTGGCGTATATAGGCACCGATTGAACAAAATCAAAATAAAAGAATTAAAAAGCCCTATTAAATGCAACGGATGCTTTTAGTTCTGAATAATTTACTCATTTGAATAGGAGAGGCACGGCCCTCTACTTGACGGAGTATGCTTCGACATAAAGTTCGACCAAAATATTATGCCTAAAAAGAAACGGGTAGGTAGGAAAATATCCGTGATCATTGGGCTGTGACGTTTTGTACGGGCTACGAGTTACAAAGATATCGCAACCACCATATGTGCTACATGTATACGAAGTTGTTCACGATTAGAAATGAGTTGCTTTGAGTGCCTATGCTTGCTGACTTTTGTATTTTGTTATGATAATGACGTGGCAGCCAACCACGACAACGCAACATCGGGGGAAAATCGAAGAAAGACAGATATATTAAATGCTGGTAGGCCTAGTCAGTGCGTGACATGACAGCAATCATATACGTTGGCGAAACAACTGAACTCTGACTCGCTTAGGAATCGAGCTGATCTCTGCCGCGCGCAGAAGTCCCGAAAAAAGTGCGGGCACTGGTTCCTACATACAACATCTAATGCACTCCATTCCATTCTGCACCGTCTTGTCTAGGAGATGTATTTGCAATTGTATTACAGGCAATAACATTTGATCGTGTAAACATTAAAAACTGGCGTTTATAAGTTTATTACGCCATTAAAACTCAAGATACACTGATTGCATTATTACTGGGTTATTATTTGTTGCCAGTGCTTGCAACAAGAATGCAGTGGAACGCAGACACTTGGTCAGCTACCACTACAGCTGAAACCGCGCCCGGGACCACGTCCCCGATTTTCCCGTCTCGAGCGTCGGGGCTCGGCAGCGTGTACAACAAGTGCGGTGTTGGGGAGTCCGGGACCGGGACAACACACCAACCCGTCCCGTTGACTTGCCGTTACCCGTACTACTCCAACAACTTGGACCCTGGAGCCTCCTCTTCCACCTTGGCCAGCATCTCACCCTACGGGGACGACTTCTCCGTCTGGAACAGCTTCGACTTCAGCTCGGCGACTGGATCTCAGCGCTACCACAGCCCTTTCGCCTCACCGGCGGCCCCGACTCCACTGAACCAGGCGGCAGCTGCAGCAGCCGCTGCGGTGTCCACTCACCAGCTGCAGCACTCCAGGGAGTCCTACCTGTCGGCGACGTCTGTGGCCAGTGGGTATTCTTCAGTGGGTCATCGGGCTAGCAGCTACCCGTTTTCTGTGTCAGGTAGGCCAAGCTTTGTTCCTTTCTGTATCGTGAGGAAACAACAGTTTCCCTGTAAAAAGTTGAGCAATTTGTCATACCTCGGAAAGGTTCCTCTTGCATTTTAAAATCATCGTCCAAAGCATTTAACGCCCAACAAGACGTATATTTTTTACTTCGCTTTTGCAACATCACTTTCTTTTATGCAGACATGTATCGACGATTTTTATTTAAAATGAGTACGCACGCTCGGCATCGATAATATCAAGAAACACATTGTTTGGAAATGGTATTTACTATTAAAAGACTGGAGAAAGTAGGTTGGCATTCAAAGGCACAGTCAACATGCATTTTATATATTTTTTATTTTTTTGTACTTCGCGAGAATTCGCGAGAATCAGAAGGCCTATTTGGATAGTCCAAGAATACTTCCCATTTCCCGGAATCACAAAGTTGTTTTTGTAATCACCGCCTACATCGAATGTGCCAAACGACCCGATGAATACTTTTAAGAATTAGATTATATAATAATTCCATTGGTTGAAATTATTGAAATTGCAAAGTTTTCGTAATGCATTTCAGAAGGATAAAAATTAATCCAGTTATAAATTTCGTACTGGTCGTAAATTTCCGATACTATGGTGAATCGATGATAATGAAAAAATCAGACGTGAAATTCAAGAGACGGGAAAAACTCTATAAAGTTATGTGCTTCGTGTGCAGTAAAGGTCGTCTTCATTTGATTTTCACTTTTATGATGCTATTCAATTTCTGTCAACTTGCCTTGTTCAAACATACCTTTACCAATTATTACCGTACTAAGATCCCTGGCTGTTTATTTTTCCTGTGATTTGCAGGCCAATTTCGAGTTACACTTGCAATGACTGTTTACAAAGAAAATGACTGAAAGTATGTCGGCTGATAATTCTCTCATAAATCAACTATACACTGTTGAATGAACTAGAGGTGCATGTAAATAATTGTTCATAGGCCCATAGGGTATGTAGAAGCGTATACATCCATTCAAATTAAAAGGGTGGTTGCACCGGCGCGCCGAAGATGGGAAGTTCGTTTAAATGAGTCAGCTTGGTATTCCAACAGCACATGCCCGAAATGAAGCGCGTCCGAGGTCATTCGGGAACAGCAATACGCTCCGAGCGGGAACAAAAGAGGGCGCGTGTTTAAATGAAATTGGACAGTCCTTTGGTATGAACTAACCGCATAATAGGCGCGCAAGTTTGCGCCGAGTCCGCGCAACGAATTTATTCTGGAATGTATGGTCTTCGCGTGCAAGTCGAACGTGTGAAAAATCTTCGTGCCGGCCTGTCTTTCTTTCGCCGGTGAGGTTGCACTTCAACTCGGGGAGGATATCCGCGCATGACATCTGCAGCACAGCCCATTCGACGCACATGTGCGATTTGTTTTTAATTGACCTTGCCTATTGTGAACTGGTTCATATCCAGAAGAACAGACCACGACCGAAGGTTTGGACTGATAATGGATGTAGCGTTTGCTGGTGGAGCCCCAAGACTAGTAGCTCGGCTCTCTAGTCATTTTGCATGACACGTGCACGCCCGGCCACCCCAACTTATCCAGATTTACTCTCACTACAATAGGTGTTTGCTGTTCGTAAACAACATAGTTTTTATATTCATAATGGCTATACACCTCATAAATATTCGTGAGCAAATTGTTGCGAGTCTGGGAGGTAGAGCTGATACGCGCCAAGGTGACGTCATCCCGATCAGTATCCTGCTCGCTGCCTTGCGGTTGTTCTTTCTGCATGGTAACATCAAAAGTTCCCTCTGGAATCCCTTCCATAGACGTGCAGTCTTTGACATGTAATCTTAACGGAAACAGTCTGTTTAGGTTTTGCCAGACAGGCGGAACTCTGCAGCTCAGAAATAAATAATTCCTGTTGGCCTTGAATTTGCTATTCGCCAATTTGCTCATGAATAATTTTATGAGGTAGGCCTACAGTAAAACAAATACATGTTTATTTCTGGAAAGTGATGAGAATTGTACTGGTCGCTGGATGTAGGTCACAGAGACTACCTCCCGACGCCAAGCGGGGGAAGATAGTTGAGCTGATACAAGAGGCACATAGTTACCAAAACATGGCTAGAAGTGTGTTTAAAAAATGAGGTAAAGTGGTTGGACAAAATCTTTGGAAGGGTGTAAATATTCTCTTTTTTGCTAAGACTTCTTGGCTCAAAATATATGTAGTAACTGGAGCCAGCTCAGGAGAATATAGACACTGACAACGTCCCTCGGCTTCGGCTTGGATTGTCTGTTTCCATTCTTTTGTCATCCATTTTCAAAATCCTGTTTTTGCATCAATAACCCATTTGCCGTCTTGATGTATAGATTCTACCAGCATACCGATGTTGATATCAAACTTAAACTTCAAACATATTGCATTCTGCCTCTGTATCACCCTTGGCTAAGCTAATGAGCCATTCCTGTTGGATCATGAATACGTGCGGTTCACAATAGTGCGCCTCAAGAGTTTGCAACAGGTTGACCAACCACAGTGCGTGAAATCTGTCGACCTTTCCAAACGCGCATTGGGTCGACAGATTTTGCGCACTGTGATTGGTCAGCGCGTTGCACACTATTGTAAAACGCCCGTATTCTTTGACGTGAAGAACAATAAATATGCATTCTAAAGGTACCAGTAAAAAACTAAAAAGCGATATCCTCTCCCCCAAACAAAGAACAACAGCTCTGGAAAATGATGGGTGTGCCTGGCCAAGACTATACATGTCAATGTATTCTGGATGGAAATGTAGTGGGCACCATCATCCCACCTCGGGGCTTTTGTTCAGTACGCTACCTGGTACCTATCTTTGTTTAATACCAACATTGTGTTCTTAACAGTCAAGCTATAAGCAACAAGTGAAATCCAAAGCAAAACAGCAGTTTATCAGCAGGCCTACGGATCGAATAGTGGCAACTTACAATTTTTGGCAAATCAATGGGATCTTTTAAATAAAAAATCAGACAATTTCAAATCAATGAAATATTAGGTCCTTGAACTTTACAAATTACCCTTTTGTAACAGGTATCTTGAATTATCGGGAAGAGAAAACGGAGGAAAACAAAAACTTGGGACCTGAAATTGTCCTTGCTCTGAACATGAATTTAAGTTGTGTATCAGTGCTCTTCTTACCTGGGTTTGACTACCTAAGCCCATCAAGCATTGACGTCTGTCCAAGCACGCATCTTTAATGCAGCACTGGCACACCGAATTCTGCGCGACGTCGACGAGCCATCCCTCAAGGATTCCGTCAGGATGAAATAAAAAAATGTATATGACCTGCATTCCTAACCGGTAAAAAATAGCACGACTAATAGGTACGAGAGAGGGGCTTGCTAATAACAATGAACACAATGACTGAAATCATGCGAGTGTAACTATACCCTATCCGCTTTGAGAAATTTTGCTCAGGGACCATGTAAAATAACAATTTACTAACTACTTTAATTACTATCACTTCTCACTTTATAAAGCCATCTTGTTTGCATTTGGAATCATACTCATTACGCTTTATTAACTTTTTTTATCCTGGCCTTTATATATCCGTTAGTTGATGCCAACAACCAGCGATAGGCCCCTACAGTCTCAGTAAAAGTTTATATCGTAATGAAATAAGAATCCGTGAGAATTTTATGGCGTTAATAACTCGGTTTCGAGTGCGCAGTCGTAAAGTACAATTAAAACCCGAAGGATGATTGCAGTAATCCATTATAGTAAAGTTTTATAAGATAATAACTGGTTGAGACGAGTCGGCTCGTGCTGTCTGTCAATAAAACTCAGATATATGCTCTGCCATGGCCGCCATGTTAGTGTTTAATTATGCTTTCGTAATATTAATTCCATTGTACATAATTATTATCTCAGAACAGTGTTTGCTAAAATTAACTGTTGGGAAGAGGATGTTCACTTCTATCTTTGGGTCCATTTGAAGTTAATGTCTACAAATGTATGCCCATAAGTGATTCATCTTCGTCACTCTAAAGGCTCACTGCTCGGAAATACGGCGTACATGTCGCCTGCTTTCCGGCAATATCGCTCTTTTATTGGGAAACAGATGAGCATTCCTGAAGTTTTGGTGTACCAGGATATCTTTGAAAATCTTAATCTAACTCTGTTTCGTATATTTTTGTTTCAAAATAGTCGCCATCTTTTGGATAAAAGCTTTCAATAATTTCCAGTATTTCAGGAGGAGCAACTTACGGTGTATACAAGTAATTACTTTACAATAAAGCATCTTTTTGTGGCTTACCTATTAGAATCACAAAGTGTACATTGTGAGAACACCGTGAAGAGAGATAGAGAAAGGAAACACAATGACAGTGCTACATACATAGATCTAAACTTCAAGTTATTTTAGGAGAAAACCATTACTTGGGACAAATTTATTTTGCTTTGTCGATCATTTCCTACAGATTTAACGTACAGTTAGCTTGCATAATGCTCACCGTGGGAAAATCGTCTTTTCTGCCTAATTACAAATTCGTAAAAACATTATTCAGAATACGAATTTGCATACCGTATAAAACCAACCGGCGGAACACACTGTAAAATATGCTGGTACCTTCCGCCCACAAGACCTACTCGTTAAGTACAGCCTACCGTCACTTCAATGAAAACCTTATGCCCTCGAACCTATCAGCGCAGGATGCATATTCCGTTATCACTAAAAATACGATTGTGCTTCCATGGCTGGAGTGTTTTTGTCTTTCTATTAGTGCACCGTTTTATGTTATTTTTTTAAAGGACGCTTGGAATTTACTGGAGTTTGGGAGGGACCGCTGGCAACTTGGCCACCCGCTTTGTAACAATTTCTACTGGTTAAATCAGCAATGTTGATTCGATTTCCAGGAGTTCAATAGGAGCTTAAAAGTTGATTCAAAGTATGAAGATGTGATCTCTCAAATGACAATGTTCCCAGTTGAACTCACGCTTTAAATTTACCCCATTGACCTTGCGTGCATTTATTTTGTATATGATACAAATTACGTGCAGCGATGTTATACTGAAGTCGAAATGCCTTAACCTGTAGTGCGTATGTCGGAGCATAACTGAAAAAAACTGCCGTAAGTTTGATGAATGGCAGACTATAATTGTATGAACACACTGATGGGTTTCTGGGAGGGGGGGGTTATGAGGAAGGATATCACTTATTTTATAGTAAACGAAACGACCGACCCTTGGAGGGCCTTCTAAGCAAAGCTGGCACAGTGTATCTGTCAGTCCTGGGCCAACCTAAAGTGAGCATACTCCCGATCCCATTTCCTATTAGGACCCAAACAAGTCTAAATTACGACATTGGCAAGTCCTGATGAATGCCTTTAATTTTGTGTGTACATGTATTTATTGTTTGTTATATAGGTTCATCCAATCACGCGTCAGCATGGGTTTCCTCGGTAACCTCGACCCCAAGGAGAACCAAACGAAGGCCATACTCCAAGCTGCAGATCATCGAACTGGAAAAGGAGTTCCAGGATAACATGTACCTCACGCGAGATAGGAGAACGAGGTTGGCGGAAGTGTTAAACCTGACGGAGAGACAGGTTAGTTTTTGCCTCCTTTATGCTGAAACTGAAGTCACGGTCCCTGCCACTGGAATAAGGACCAAACACCTGTGGAAATAGAAATCTCCAGCCACGTATGCGCTCCTCAATCAATGCCCATTATTTTGTTCTTCCCCTGCAGAAACGGTTTTCCTTCAATAAGCAATCCATATCTTGCTTATAATCCATTCCACCTGCATCGACTACGGTACCCTTCCAACTTTCTGCCTCACATGAGCTGATGAGAGATTTTTGGCGACCACGTGGCTTTAGAATTAACATTTCTGTATTACATCCCCTCTCTGGCGCCCATCCTTTGCCTTCTCCACGTCGTTTCATCATTATGTCATGTCTTCCTCCTTGTAGGTCAAGATCTGGTATCAGAATCGACGGATGAAGATGAAGAAGATGACGGAGCGAGAGAAGCAGGAACAGCAACAGATCGAGAGAGAAAAGATGACCTTGGGCTCCAAATATTTTGCAAACCACCACCATTAACTTTTTTTCTACATAGCACGTCGATTTTTGTCAAGGGCTCATTTTTGGATTTGTACAAATTTTCACTATAGCGACCGTTTGGGGGAAACGTAGATCACAGATGTAGATTTGCAGATTTGCAAATCAAGTTCTTCGGTACTTTACAGCGTCTAGAATGAACTCAGAACGGGGGTAGGCCTGTGTAAAATTAAGTAGTCAAAACGCTTCCGTTTTGACCAACTTCTATTGTTAAGTTTAATGTATAAACGGTTCGTTAAGTTCGAAAAGTTAGCAGAGATCCAGGATTGGTGTGGCTGCCCCTGTTGCTGGTCCCACACACTGTCAATATTTTGAATGCTACAAGAATGTGCAATGTTTAATGTGGGGCTTGAAATATTGCCACCAGAAATACCGTCCACATTCAGTAACAGAAAATGGACATGTAACTGATTAATTTCATTCATACAAGTCAAATAATTCTAATGAAAATAATGACAAGTCATCCCATCTCAGAAATGAAGGTAAACCTTGTTAATATTATTCCAGTTTGAATTTCCTTCAAAGTCAATCAGGAAAAAACACACAAACGCCTGACATCCCCGCATTTGAACAATTTCAATAGACGCGCAAATGGTGGATGCACGGGCGCGTTGATAGGGCCTAAAAGCGCATGTATTATGACCTACCCCTCACCTCATTTTGTTTGTGCCCGGTAGTTATTGATACTTCTTTTAATAATCGGCTCTATATTTGTATATATGGCTACGTGAAATAATGCGGATTCATTCAACCTGTTTGTAAATAGATATTATGCGTTACAAATTGTGCTGGCGTAATATGGGGGTCTTTAAATTCTTTTCGCGAGTATTTTGTTGCAGTTTAAGTGAATATTTGTATTCAAGGAGTGTGTTTTGGAATATTGCAACAAAAGTGGGTAAAATGAACATTTTTTGTGCAATAAGGTATATAATGGAGTATCTGACAAATTCTGACTTTGAAATTAAAGAATCACAACCAAAAGTGTTTCAGTGCCAATCCATTTGAGTGTATCATAATAAATTGTTTAGCCGGCTTTTTTTCTGACACACTTTTGCAAAGAACATACTAACCAGACTTTATCTTTGGAGCGGGTTGACAATTTAAACACATTTTTCATGCCTTGTTCTGTACATGACAAATTCGAGTAGGCCTATAAAGGCACTAGATTTCCCAGTCTTATTGACCTAGCACCTTGAGAAATAACCTGAATCAACCGGAAGATGTAGGAACGCCCCTGATGTATGCCTCTCGGCATAAATACAGTTGATCCTTGTTGGGAAGAGCACTTTTAATACAACATACTGCACACACAAAGGCAACTATTGTAGGGCCCGATCCTTTTGTCCTCCATTCTTTTCATTCCAGATGATTATAATGTTTTTATTCAATAACAAAGACCTCCTATTGATGAGTTTCGACTGTATTCGCGTAGTGTCAGCATTGGGTCATCATAGTCCGGTTTCCTGGTCGGAGCTGGAGGCATTTCTCTTGCTATGTCAAAATCGCAATTTTGGCCAACCAGCAGTTGGAATGCTATGCTGGCACCGAGTGCAAACCCAACAGGACAGTTCATAGAGTGTTCAGAAGTCTCGAATATCAGGCGTGTCGTCTTTCGTTTCTGATTTCCAAACGTGTATTATCACAGCTCTGGAAAAAAAAATCAATTTTCCATATTGTATGGCTGTCTCAATTACTTGGCTGTGGCTAGAAAATGCCTACGAGTAAATGCTAACGGCTACAGCCACTTCCAATGGAGTCGCATGTAATTCCAAGCTGCAGCCAAGTAATCCCGACACGGCTTATTCTCATGAATTTTTACGAGCATCCCCAGCATAACGTCATGCATTAATTTTGCCAAGATGAGAGGCACGTACGACATTGTAAGGGTACCAATCAACATTTAATCTACCGTTGCCACAAAAGATAGCCCCTTTCATCATCTGTTTGGCATGCCCCTCCCGAGAAGGTTCAAAGCACAAAATCAAAATGTTTTGGACGAAAGATATGAACACGAGGGACCTGAAACTACAGAATAGCAGAAAAGCTGTCATCTTTCACAGCCTCCACAAATGTCTTCTTTATGATGTCGTTAAAGTGCAATAAGCATCGTTTCCCAAACCTGTTAAGTGTACAAAATGTGAAAAAATTCTTACGACTAGGACTAGCATCATGACTTGCGCCCCTCTAAACACATGACGTCGTCATCCCTCTTAATTCCAGCTGCCGCGGCGTCCAATAGCCTGCAGTCACTTCCCTAACCGCACCTAGTCGATTTGGAGTTGGCATTCGCTACTTAGAAAAGAACATAATACAAAACTATATGGTCTTTCCAAAAATGCTTCAGTGTTTTCCTCAGTCATAATTTCACAGCTACACGGTTAATGTTCGCTTTCCCCACACTGATAATGAAATATTCTCTCAAAGGAAAGATGATAAAAGCAATCAGCGAAAACTCCTTAAGATTTGAGTAGCTTTTATCTTTAAAACCATGAAAAATTGGAAAACACTACAAAGGAGGTATAATTACGTAAACACCTGTACAAAAAAACAGAAACTAAAAATGAACAGAACAAACATAAAAATGGAATCAAGTTTCTGCTTCCTAGAAATAGTTTAGACTTTTTAACAACACAGGGAAAGCAAATCCTAGAGATGGAACAGAAAGGTTAAAGAGGGACTAAGTATTGATTTATAAATGATATTGTACCTTGTTTCAACAACAGGAATATGGACTTGTGGGAGTACACATCTTTGCTTTGTCAGACTCATTAATTTCGTTGATTTACTTCTATTTAGACAACTTTCAACAAAAGGGAGAAACGTTAGCCTTGCCTACCTTTCCTTAAAGCATTTTTCTTTCAGCGTTTCATAGACCACGAATTCTTAACACGTGAATAGAATGATCGAACAGAATGACAATCAAGTTGTGTTTGTGTGGACAAAAGTATTTGTTCGATTATATCACACAACCCAACTTTTCTACAATCATTCTAAAATGAGGCACTTGATTCTGCCTTGAAAAAAGTCCACATTCCACAGCGACATGGACCTCTGCTATCGACTTTGAAACATGGCATAACTTTCGACCGAACAGGGCGCTGGGAACGGCTGACGGCTTTGCGTTGTGATTGGCTACTTTGTGCACGACCTCTAACAGCGAGGTTATCACATCCTATTAGCAAAGCCTTATTCGGAGTGTCAGAAATAGGCCTACATGATAAAAACATGGTCTTGATACAATCACGGCAATGTATCTTTTAAGTATTACTGATCACGTGTCTTTTGGCGACATACAATGTACATGTATTTCAAATCACCGGTTATCTTGATCAGTTTTGGATGAACTAATTAAAAGTGTAGCGAAAATAGTTTTAGCAGAGGAAGAAAAATAAATATATCGAATTGATAACCGCCACATTGAGCCGGCTCGTGCGCATGGCAGAAATTTACCCACAATGTTCTGAGCGTCGTTAGCCGTGACCCCGTGTGACGTATAGACTACTGAAGTGTGACGTCACTGTGAACCAGAAAGTGCAGTGCAAACGAATGGAGTACGCACGCGTTGGGTTCATGCACAGGTTCTTGCGCTAATGCTTTTTACACACTAATTGTGCGCGTGACGTATTCACTTGGGTACTCTATTCTCTTCACTAAAATTTGTGCAAGGCCATCAACCCTTCTTGTATCCTTGTTTCAAGAAAAACTTTTGCACACCACCGAACAAAAGCCCGTTGCACCCTCATCCACGAATGTATTGACCTGATGCATTTCGAATACACCACAGATATTTTGTAGGGACTCCACGCGTGTTAAACCGTACAAGGGTCAAATCCATTATAGGGACAAATTTGTCTCTCACGACTCGGACCCACATTCCCCACCAAAAGAAACTGTCTCCTGCACGTGATGGGCAGCCACAGCATAGTGTTATTAATTGAAGTATGGTACTACCTGTTTCCTTAATACACAAATACACAAAATGTTGAAATCGCACGCCTTTCGGTGTGTCACATGTATACATGCAGCAAGGATATTCAACCATTTAGATACAAGTCAAGTGCGTTCCTACGGGATAAGCTTTCACCAGTACTATTTACAACTTGTAACTGCACGGTATATGTTAACTTCAAGAATGGATATCCTGTGCACTGGCGTTTCTTTATTTCCTTTCATTAGCAGGGTTTTCAAAATAATGGGGGAATAAATCATAAAGACCTGTTGCACTTATGAATGCACATTTTCATAGACATAAGCAATCTGTCACTAACAATATTATCAGTAAAAATGTAAAACTCAGAAGACAAGGGCCAAACAGATAATGTGTTCACAGCATGTAAGAAACTGACATTTAATTTGGTTGAAATGTTCACAGTAAAACTTTATGACCCTATTGGCTTAAAGGGAAGTTAAAAATCATTCTTAAATGTGAAAAGGTTTTAAAAGTACAAGGGAATTAGTGACTTGTAGGTAAAGCATTCATACCTTTGAATGGGTTCCAGCCACCTTCTCGTCTCTAATGTATAAAATCTGATGCAGGGTCTGGGGTGCCAACCATCCCAATTCATTGTACATGTACTTACTGGACCAGGTCTGATCGGCGACCATTTGTCAACTGCTGGCTGATTTAAGCCTGGTAACCTAAGCACAAAATAATGTGAGTATCCCAGGTACCGGGGAAAAAAACTGACTAATGGCAAACGATCGCTGATTGAACTTGGCTTTCGCTGAACCCTACCTTCTCTGGTATGCAACAGTTCCCAAAAGGATGAATGGGAAGATGGCCGGGGGGATCAGGCAGTACACTTCATGCCTTTTTCCTAGTTCTTTTGGAGGAGGCAGTTGAAACCTACGTCATGAGTAATTTAGCAGTTACCAAGGAAAAATTACGTTTATGCATGAGAAAGCCATCAATAGTTTTGCATGCCCATGAACTCTAAAAAAAAATTAATGAACCAAGCCACCCTTTAGTCATTTCAGTAAAGCTGGGAGTTACACAAATATGATTATTTTGGACAAAGGGTAAAATTAACAATACTAAAATAATGACTTCATCTCTTAAGGCAACAGGATAACAATGTTTTTTTATTTTAATACAGGAAATTAGTTTCTAGACAGATGAACAAAGTGTCCCTAGCTCACAAGCACAATTAGGGATTAAGAATTGTATGCCATTCAATGGAAATTGGAACCTAGGTAAATTCTCTAATGTCTGCTGCACGCAGTCAGGCCCCTGCAGACGCTACGTAGTCTGGCTGTCTACTACTTGCGGCTGCAGGTGCTGATGTTGCTGCTGTTGTGGTGGATCTTGCTGCTGCTGTTGTAGCATGGTGTCCTCTTGATTCTCTTGGGTCTGCTCTAGTCGCTTTGATCGCTGTCGGAAATGGACGTCAAAACAGTTTCCAGAACCTCAATTGTTTTTATCAATTGGATACACCCACTTCAGAGATTACGCATTTGCTCCTGTATTTCTTTCTAAATGGCCGGACTAGCAACTGACAGAGATCTAGTCGGTCAGGTCAAATCAGGTTAGCGATTTTACATATACATTTAACCCTTAACCCTGAAAGAGCTGGCAGGGGGGGGGACTGTATCTGTCCCACCCCTCCACATTAACCACTTGCCACTGGGAGCTCCCGTAGCAGAGCCATAGGCCTTATATTCGTGGCCGGGGTCTCCAAACTCGGACAAAGGGAACAGGGCCTTGTAACAAAAGACTGTACTCTGAACAAAAGACCAGGCTACTGGGCATTATCGACATTTTTCACTCTCAAAAGTGGAGATAATCCAGCCTTGTTTTGAAACAGTATACCATGGTTTGGGGTGTTTCGAGCGAGCGGATTACCACTGGGACAAAAGCGCTCCACCAACAGCGATGAGCCACACAGCACCGCTGCATGCTAATCTGGCCAAAAGAAAGTTATATAACACCGCACAATCTGGGCGCTTTTAACAAGCCTGCGGGCCTGGCTGAAACACTTGTGCGTCAATGAAAGTCACCTGTCAGCTTAGAGTAGTGCCTAAAGATTACTTCATGTGGGTATAAACGTCCGTTAAATTAAATGCTGAATTTTTGAAGAATTTTGAATACTGAAAAAAGGATAATTATCCCGGCCCATCATCATCAACATTGACAACTAACCCCGGCGCAAAGTGGTTAACATCCATTTCATGTTTCGTAATGTGCCTTCAGGAGTTTTTCCAGTTATGTCTTAGGATCATTTTGACACCAAGCTTCAAGGTATTGGCCAAATGCCAAAGACACTCACCTGTGGAGGCTCCTCGATGCGGATTGGGTTGACTGGCCTCTTGGCCTGTACTCGCTTCACACCTTGCTGCTGCTGCTCAGGGGAGTAATAGGTCACCCCACCGTAGGTCTGTGATGGCGGGGGCTGACCCAACCCCGGGGCTGGCAGGGACCCCCCACCACCATCCCCCTGGGGTAGGGGCTGCACCGGGGTGGGGGGCTGCTGGGAAAGCATGGTGGGCACCTGGAGGGGCAGGGATTGGTTGGGCTGGGGCAAGGTGGGAATGGGGCCAGGCTGTAATGGAGGAGGCTGGGAGTGGGGCGTTATGTTCTGTGCAGGAGATTCAAAAATAAAAAGAGAAAACAAAAGGAAAATGGAGAAAATCTGTACAATTTACGTAATACAGACAAATCAACAAACATTGCTTTCATTCTATTTTCAATTCTCATGAGAAAGGAAATGGGATGCAATAATAGCACAAGCCGAAAAATTCAACTTCTTGTAAAGGTACGCTGTAAAAGCAACACCTGAGAATGCTCAATAATGGATCAATGTTTAACTGTACTTGAAGCTCATTACTCTCAGAATTGGTGATGCCGATTCCACTGCTCAGTGTAAAGTGGCTTTTCAGAGACAAAAAAACAAATCACAGTTGCTGCACTGAACTGCATTCATGCCTTTGGCTGTTTGTAGTGTTGGAATACAAAAAAGTTACACGGTAACTGGGCTTTCCAAAATATAGAGGCTTCCTAAAGAAGTACAGCCTTCCAAAATTCAGGATCGTAAAGATAAGCATCTTGCCAACATTGGATACTCACTGGTACAGCATCTTGGGGGAACCGCTGCATCCCAACGGGGGGGCTGTTGAGCTGGTACTGCTGGCCAGGTGAGGCTCCGTAGTTGACCATGAAATGGGCACGTGGTGGAAAGCCAGGCTGGGGGAGGGGCTGTTGTGTCCTCATCGCTACCGGGTGGATGATAGGAGGATTGGCTATGTGAGTCGGCGAGGGGTGTCGCATGCCTGGACATGAACCCCAAACAAAATTACTAACAGAAACACTTGTATGTATTCCAAATGCTGTTATGTTTGTGTATTTTGTATTCAGAAGGTGCAATCTAAAGACCGGTTCTTACTTCAGGGGAATGCGCAAGCGAACTGAATATGAAGTCACAAAAATTTGCTTGAGGGTTGACATGTGTTCCTCTTTTGCAAATGAACGGCATGAATATTTGACTTGGTATCACAATCTGCTCTTTCCTTTTCAGCCAAGACAACTGCAAGACAACTGACCAAGACAACAGGAAATTTTGTTCTACGATGGATTAGAATCGATTATGAATTTAAAATTAGCATCACTGATGCCCTACAGTGCTCAATTCAATTTCCCTAACATTTGATGTTTGTTTTCTTGTTGAAAAATCTGAACTTTTTTTGGGGGGGGGAGGGCAGCTCAATAAATTTATTATGCTAGAATTAGGCTTACAAAAAGGTTACAAAATGTACCATTGGCATGATTGGTGTCAAATGAAACCAACCTGGATGTATGGGCACATCTCCTGGCAGGATTATCCCCTGTGGCATCACGCCCCCTTGCATCACGGTGGGTGGGGCCTGAGTAGAGGGGGCAACGCCCATTCCTGGGGGCGTGGCTCCCCCATGCACGGACGGCGCTGTGCTCTGCAGTGTGTGAGGTGGTGTGCCACCCCCACCACTACTACCCCTGCCACCGCCCCCACCCATGTGCTGTGGCGAGCTAGTGGCCGGTGGGGTATGACTGTAGCCAGGGGGCGGGCCTGTGGCCTCGCCCTGGTAAAACTTGGGTGGCTGCACTACAGCCGAGGCCTGGCTAATGGGCGGGGCATCAGCTGCTTGACGCTGCCGTTGAGAGGAGTAACGCTTAGGCTTCAAGGGCTGTCAAGGGTTAAAAACAAAACTGACTGTAAGCAACTGTTGATAACAGTTGAAAGCTGTTGAAACATGCAATTTTGTGTTAATTTGCAATTTGGTTCTTAAAACCAGACCATGCCAGATCTAGGGAAATCAGAATGGGTTGCCTTTTTAGGATGTCTGTTAGATGTGCACTGAGCACACATATGTTTTGGATAATAAATAATAAATTGGCATGGAAATACCGAATATGTCTGCCATTGCTCAACTCGGTATCTCCCAGCTTCCATGTCACTGGGACTGTCATGTACGATTGCAATTGTCAACAACATTACATTATGAAAACTATCTGGAAATGTTCCTATGGCAAAGTAAAAAAAAAAAGTTTTTGCAGTAACTGAAAATATGTCCTCACATAAAATCAGTTTAACACATCAATTAGGATACAATGTCACATCAAATGGTGGCAGGGGTCTACAAGGCACAGCAAATTAAAACATTCCAAGGTGGGTGATTTGTTTTAGTGAATACTGGGCACCAAGGATTATTTAAGGCATACCTCTCTCTTGTCAGCTTGCATTCTGTCTGCTGACTGGTTGCTGTCTTCGGGTGACTCTGTCCTGCCTTCTGGACAAACACAAGGAAGAGAGATACTTACTGTAAGCAATTCTGAGAGCGACAAATAGTGTGCAACAAAATGTAACAGATAAAAAAGTTCTTTACTTTCAAATTTGGCAGAGGGATCTAGAAGTTTGGATATTGAAGATGGCATGGATTGAACAAAGTATCATTTAATTCCAGGGAAGTTGACTGTAGTTGATAAAAGTGTTCTTTTGCCCAAATCCCTTATTCGGGAAACCTTGTGAATACTGGGCAGGAGCTTTGCCTTGTGATACACACAGTAAAAGCTGTACATTTGGAAGAATGCAAAAAACAAAAATCTGAAATATGAAATTTGCCAATGTAGAATGACTTTACTTTCCCAAATTTGCAATGGTGTTCATTTTTAGGCCAAGTGCAAACTGAGCACTACGCTGCGCTACACGCTGTTTGCTGCGTTGTGAAACACTGATCACCTGGTGTGTGCGTAGAGCCACACTGTTATTGAAGATAAACTTAGGTACATAGTTATCAAATCAGAGTTCTTGAATAGTTCACAATTATTGAAACATTTCAATCCTGCATGCTAACCTGTTGAGGAAGGGGTAGGCAGCAGACCCTGTGACTTGGCAGGTAGTGAACCACCTTCTGATGACCTCTCCTTCGTCTCCCCACCCACGTTCTGCCTGCCTGTCTTGGCCACAGCCTTGGCCCAGTCTCCTTCCCCGCTCTCCCGGACCTGCTCTCGTCTGTCCTTTCTGCCCCACTGGGGGGCTACAGTCTCCCTGCTTGCCAGCCGGGCTGGTTCCTGCTTGCGGGACAGCTGAGAAGCCCCCAGGGCCGGGAAGTCCTCCTGAAGGGGCACTCGCTGCTGCTGCTGCCGCTGCCGGTCAGCCTCGGGAAGCCGGTGATGCCAGTCTCTCCTCTGTCCCGCCACCTGCTCTCTCCTGCTGGGACCAGAGTTGCTGTTGACCCATTCTGTCTTGTGCGGTATCGTCGCAGGCTCGACTGCATTGCGGCTGTGGTCGTAACTCTCCCGCCCTTGGCCTCGGCCCCTGCGACCCCTCCCTCGGCCTCTTGTCCTCCCAGACCAGGGTCGCTCATGATCATAAGTCCTATTGGACTCTTCCCCATTGCTCTGTCCCTGATAACTGTCTTGTCTTCCGATGGTCTCCGTCGGAGCGGGAGGTTCATTTTCATCGTTCCAGTCCTCTTGGGCTGGCTCGCTTCTCTGAGCCGGCTGTCTCTTACGACTGTAACCATCTTCCTTGTTAGGCTGTTTTTGGTTATTGAAGCTTTCTTGAAGGTTGTATCTTTGACGACCTCGACTTCGGCCTCTCGGAGCTCTCCTACTGTAAAAAGGGGATTCTTTGAATCTCCATTTTTAAAAAAAGCACTTTGCTAAAACTTAAGCTATGTGATTTGTAATTCGTCACTCTGACACGCTCACAGCAGGGAAGGTTGGTGTTGGGATACAGATTGGGGAACACTCTCCTGATTTACCACAGTTCCGACTCGATGACCTTTCATCCCACCCCACCAAGGCCAGCATTCAGTTTGTGTTTCTCCCATTTTTTCGTCCCAGATGCACATATTGTTGGGTCTACCGTTGCATGGCCAATAGTAGGAATAAAAATGGGTTACTGCATGCACATTGTACACATGAATCGTTTTTGTGTATAAAAATGTGGTTCCAAGTCTCCCTATTGAAATGATGAATGTAAAAAGATTTCCATCAATGTTTACATGAATGGATAGTCTTAGAGTTGCCTATACCATATGCCTTAACTACTCATCGACGATGAAAGTTTGGTGATAGAAAAACAAGAAGTTTCTGGGGGTTTCATCGGTGAAAAGAAGGCATTTTTCCAGTGGTATTTTGAAGGCTTTCTGTGACATCTAGGAATCATTTTGGGAAAAGAATTGGATCAGAAACACCACAGAAAGAATGAGGCTTAGATTGTGAACGTGGGCACACAGATTTAGGTGGTTTGGCAACTGTGCAGGTAAACATGTACAAAACATATATTTGTGAATGTCAGAATTCAAGATAAACTTTGATGCCCCGCACCCAAGCCTGACCTTCAAACTGTTGCTTTTCTTGTATTTCAACAATTAGAAAAAATTATGGATAAAGTAATAATTTTGAGCGCAAACAGTTCTTATTTATATAAATATTTGTTGATTTTGTGGGGAAGACCCAATACATTCACTCCTAAGTTAAGTCAAGGTCGAGCGGAAGATTCCGTGCGCTTAAAATTGTCCAAGTATTCTCACCGTTCATTCATAATTGTGATTGACTGGGACAGTGGTGAATTCCAAATGTTTTTCCCTCAATTCTGCACAATGAACATTTTTCCACAGGAAATCACTAGTGAAAAGCTCAGGAAATGCTCTAGAATGCATCAGAGAGCATCTGAAGTTGAAAAGATTTCGGGGCTCTTAAGCAGGCCCTGAGCTGCACGCTTTGGCTTTGCAATTTGTCAGTCAACAAGGACAGATATCCCCCACACTTTTGAAAAAATCCTGGGAAGAACCCTGGATTTAAGAGCTGGAATAGATCTTCCGAACATTAAAACATTGGGACCAAATAATTTTTAATGTCCATTAGGAAAAACTGACAGTTACACCAAAGTCTGAGAAAAAAAATTAACACAGTTCTTGGAGAAAATACAATTATTTTGAGCAAGTTGTATCACAAATTGACTGATTCCTTAGCCTGTTAGGAGAGCTGGTCAGGATAATCTGGGTCTACCTTGGCTGTCTTGACTGTCCAGTCTTGGGTGGTTCATTGGAGCTCCGGATGTCATAGCCATAGATGCTCACCATTTCTGCCCGCGGCTTGGGAGCCTGTTCTGCCTCAAAGTATTTGTCATGCAACCATTTGTTGTCTTCTTTCCATAATTTTTTCTCCTTACTGCCTCTTTGGAAGTTTCAGAGAAAAGAAAGAATGACGATTATGACACTTGGAATGATTTGCGCTATGTGGATTACTCACAGGGGCTAGTGGGAGACATACATCTTGCACACTCTGGTTTTAGCACGGTTAAGCACAAAACTTTGGACTGAATGAACACAAAAATACATTTGCACATGTAGTTCAAGCACCTGTGAATTGGCACAAGGGTAGGATGACACTCAAAGAGTCTTCCATTGTCCCTCATTACGTGCACTCAAGTTTCAGTGTTAGAGGAGTACTCGAGCACAGTGTCCATGGCCTTCTAGTTGGGTCCTACCTGTCTTTCTCCTTGTCTTCTTCCTTATTGTCCATGGACCGGACGTCATGCATGAAGTAAGGGCCGCGTCTTGGGATGTAGGCAGGGTTCTTCAAGTCCTCATCAGCATCCAGTCTCTTGTCGCCATCGGTCTTCAATTGGACCAAACATGGAACAAGTTATCTCAGTTACTGGCCATTACTAAAGCGATTACAGAAGTATAAAAGGACAATTAACCTGGACTTTCCCAATCTGAAAGATTCCAATGATTACTGGATTTCATATTTTCAGAAAAGTTCAAGTACCAACACTTCAAATGGGGTCTAATGCATCAATTTTGTGCAGAACTTCAACGGTTCACTGCCTAGGGTGCTTCATAATTGAGGATTCAGAATTGTTCAAAATATGCAATTTAAGATCAACCCAAAGAACTTCTAACCACTAGACTGAGCATGCTCCTACTAACAAACGTGAACACCTATTCCACAAAGACTCTGACCTCTTCCTCTGCAGCCTCATCCGCCTGATTTTCCTCATCATTGACGTTCTCGTTCTCATTGCCTCCTTCAGCATCCCCCTCCCCGACATCCGGTTGGCTCTTGTCCTCTTCATCAGAGTCATTTGGAGGTTCACCACCCTGCCAAAGGGGGAAATATACGAAGAGAAAGAAAAGGGCAAACCCAATAAAAAAAACGGAAACCCCATATCAAACGCAACAAAAGAGACTTTACATAATGACTGTTCTCATTGGTTTGAAGCCAATCACCTAATATTATGGAATATATGGACGAGACTATTGGGAAGGATCAGCTAGACCAAATAAAAACCAACCTGAAAATGCTATTTAATGTTTCCTGTGGAGATGTCCAATGCAAGATTGTGGCTGTCAAATTTGGTACTACGCCTCTGTATCGCGGGTGCACACGTAACAAGAGTTGTAATTGTCAAGATTGCTGTAGACATCTCTTTGATATTTCTCAATGACCAAGGATTATTAATATCCTACAGCGTATCCAGGAACACTCTTTGTACTTCTGTAACTTCGTATTATTCTGTTCTCAACTGTGTTAGAATCTGCTGCATCCTGCCCAGACAATGGATAGTGAAAGTGGCCTGTACATGTACATCAGCTAAGCCTGGGATGCATCCCTATGTTGTGGCTGTGGCTATCAGCAGCGCATGTCTATGGGAAGTGGATGCTTTTGTAAGCCATGGACATGACTTTTGGGAGAAAGCTTTCCATACCTCCTCTTGTGCCTCCTCTGCACTCTCATATTCATCGGTTTCTCCCTCTTCTTTATCAAATATGGTGTCGCTCTCCTGTGGAAATATGCAAAGAATGAAAACAAAGCCTTGGAAGTGATGTCGATTATCTATCCAACAAAGGGCGATTTGCAATATTCAAGGTTACATGCATTTCTCACCTGGTCCTACTTTTACAATGATTACGATATCGTTAAAAGGGAGCTTTTAGTCCATCTTTGCTAAAGAGCAAATATACATACACTAACATTATGTACAAACATATAAGTGTATATGTACACTGTACATGCCAGCTCTATTGTATAACAAAGTTTGTACTTTGTCTTTAAAATAAAACAAAAAAAACATTGCTATATCTCAAGTTAAAGCAATCTCTCACTGCAATTCTTTGGTGTCAACCTAGCAAACAAAACTGGATATTGTGTGTACTTGCTGTATGCTACAGTATGTTCATGAATGTTTGTCCTTTGCTTGTAAGTCAATATTCCAGTAATTGCATATTTTGCCCTTGTGAATACTTTCTCTTTACACAAACATGGCTATTTGACCACAAATTGGTGAAGATGTGTATGCTTTTTTTGCTGGCACAGCTGCTAAATATTTGAGCCATTTTGAAGGACTTACATGTACATATGTATGCATTTTATGTTGACAAAGCTTCCTTTGATTCCAGTTTACACTGTCACTGTAAATTCATATATACGAGATGGAATTCAGACCCAAGGCAATTTGGGATTTTTCCTCTTCCCAAAATGTGTTGACCAGGAAACGGTCATTGGTAGAACTCCCAAACATCATGGTCAACTTGTCTTATGCCCTGACTACATATATAGGCCGCTCCTGCGTGTTTCATTAGCCCTAACCCCCTAGGCTCCTGCACTAGAAAGCATACTGAACCTCACAAAATCCAACAGGTGCATGTACTTGTCTATGTACTTCTAC